GGGAGGGAGGGAGGGAATGGAGGAAAAGAAAAAGAATAAAGCACAAGCACGTCTGAATCTTAAAAGAAGCTGGAGTTCTTTTTTGATTTTCATCCTAAAATGTGTCCAGCTTGTGTCACTGAGGAGGGGGATCCCCTGGGCTATTCTAACCACTCCCAGGCTAAGCTCCATTTAAGATTCACAGCCTACAGCAAATGCAAATCCTTTGCTTGGCATCTTTTCTTCATTTCAGTCTTCATCAGCTGCAGCAGTGATGCCAGTGCCTGTTTGAAGCCCTTTGGCAAGGCTTTGCTAGCGGTGGCCCTTGGGACCTGGGCTGCTCCAATGCCCTTCACCCCCCCCAGCTCAGTGCTCACAGGGGCAGCGCTGGGAACTGTGCACAGTCTCCGGGTGGCATCTTCATATGTCCCCAGGAGGCTAAGGTACAGAAGGGACTTGTAGGGTTGGATCATCCTTTGGATTTGAGTTTCTCTCAGCGCAACACTGATTTCGTGGGGAGGAGGGAGAAATGGGTTGTCCTCTACTGATATTTGCCCAGGGAAAATGAGGGATATTTTGGATCCAGACCAGAGGGCCATGGCTCTGTCCAAGCCCTTGCAAATTGACTTGGCAAGAGAGGATTCTCTCGAGGAGCGAGAAAAACCAGAGAGATATCAGTCATAGAAGTAAACACCATATGCTTGTCTCACAGCATCTGACGGTAGTGAGGTGGACAGAGTCAGAGAGCTGGCAGATCTGAGAAATAGGGCAGTGTAAATCAAGACACATTCTCCTTTCTTTCTTTCCCAGAGGAGTTCCACAGACATGAGCAGTGTATTTGTCCTAAATCCAGGAGCTCTTAAAAGCCGATTGGTGTTTTCCATACTGATTATTTACGCTAAGCCTTGATTGAATGAACTGTAGGTTACAGAGAGGTGACTTTTTTGAAATGTAGGAGATAAATCCTTCTTCGTCTAGAGGGTAAAGAGTTAGCAAGAGAAAGGGAAAGACTATAAACCATTTAATATACTTAGTTTTTAAAAAAATCTCCAAATATTTTTTTTTCTTCCTCAGTACTGAAAATTTTGACAATAAAATATTGTGTGATAGTTTCAATTTTGACAATAAAATGTTGTCATTTAATTTATGTGAGGGCAGCAAAGGCAGGAGGTGTGCAACTGGTCTCTGGTGCTCCTTTGCTCTACTTTTCTATGCATTGCCTCCTTCAGTTGAAATTGTTATCAGCGCCACAATTCCCTTTCTTGCCTTCTGAAGAAGTGCTGTTGAACAGTGGGAACAGACTGCAGAGACACTATCTAGACTTCAGGGCATCAACAAAACTCATTCCTTAAGTCCATCAGTAATTATCCATGTGGCATTCAGCCCATCAGGTTGCTACTGTCTTAAAAATGGTTTTAGGCATTTTGAAAGTTTTTTGAAAACACAGAGCAAAGATTATAGCTATAGAAATAAACAGTCGAAAAGTCAGCCTACAGACAAAAGTGTAGGCTGTTGATAAGATAGTTGATGAGAAAAGAAAAAATTTGCTAGAAAAAATTCTTTAACTTCTAAAAGCTTCTAAAATGCATAATGTTGTATTAACTTATCCTAGACATTTTCTGACTGCTATAAGAGGAAACAGCTGACTTAGAAGCTTTACAAATGTTATCTCTGACAGGTTTTATACCAACAATTTTTTTTTCATTCATTAGCTTAATCACCTCTTGCCCTGGCAATTTCCTGACGAGCTCTTGGTTTCTCCTATTTGGCCACACCATGTCCATGTGCCAGAAGCAAGTCGGAATTCAGGTAAACCTTCAGAGCCACCGGACAGCTCGGTGCAGGTAGACCCCACATGGCCAACAGTGCGACATCACTCTGGTGAAGATGGAAGCATAGTCCCTCAAAAATCTGAGCTATTCAAGACTGTCAGCCCATTCAACCAAGCTTCCTCATCCTCTTGTTGGCTGAACTAAGAGTTTCTTATCTTTTAGCTTACAGTTAGAGAAGCTTTTTGAGCCTTGATTGCTCTGTCTTAAGTGTTAGCTCTAGAAAACCAATACTAAGACTGTAGAATCTTTCTCTAGACACCTTTTCTCCTCTGATTATTCCTTTCCTGTTGAAAATGCATGTAATACACACAGTAAGTCTAGCTATTTGGGTAGCTAATACCAGTATGACTTAGAAATTACCCTCTTAGACATGGATTTTATTTTATCTGACAACCCATGTTCTCTCAGAGTAACTAACATGAAACACCACTAGAAATCTCCTAATTTATTGTAGTAAGAGCATAGCAGGAACGGTATCTGTGAGTGAGTGGATAGTAACCAAATAAAGGATATGCCAAAATGGAGAATTATTGAAAAAAATAGATTGTCTGTACACCTAATAGCTGGTTTGATAACAAAAAGTGCTCAATTAGGGGACATACATTAAAAAAAAAGATAATAGAAGAAAATTCTTGCAGTAAGAATCTGAACCATAATCAGTAACACCCAGAAATATTTTCTGTTTAAATACATTAAATATTCTATCATAACCAGGTTCTTTTAAATCAAGTCTAATCTGATGGCTCTTCTTTTCATCTTTACTGCTTTCTATTTTTGATTTACTGTTTTTATGTTAAAAATTCCTCCTGACCAAAGACATATGAAAAATCCATATTTTGTCATTGTACTATTTTTATATTCTTTTTAATGATATAGTATAAAAATCCTATTCCAATAAAGAACACCTGTAGCATAAATACACTAAGACACTTTTATATCAATGGCAAAAATCTGTAGTCATTTAATATCCTAATATGATGGATAAGAGCTCAAAAATAGCTCCAGAGGAGTAACCTTTGTGCTAAATTAACAAAAATAAATATTAACTTCTGAAATATGTGATAGAAAATCTTTAATGCAAAACCCCCAACGTATTCATTCAAAAAGATGTATCCGTTCCTTACACGACTCAAATGAAAATGTTCGTTTTCATCTGCTAAATATTTTCCCAGGAATAATCATTGCATTTTGTGAAAAGTTGATAAAAAAAGTTCATGTCAGAACTGAGATTTGTGTAGAAAGAGCATATCCTACATGAGACTGAAATAACAATTTCATTAAGAAGTCCCCTCTATGCCTTTCTGTCAAATCCCTTCCTCCTCCATTCTGTCTCGCAAACTGTAACCAGCTTCCTCATGTCCTGGTTCAGTGATCAGTAGCACTGAGTGGTTAAAAATTTACACTTTTTGTGGGAGTACTAGAAAAACTTTATTTCTCTGCCTTTTTTGCCAATATGTTCAGGTTGGGTCTCTCTCAGTGAACAAACCCAGATTTTCGGTAGGAAAAAAAAAGCAACAAAAACTAACAGAAAACAATTTTTCTTTCTCTAGTAATACATTAGTATTCAGTTTCTAACATATGAAAAAGGCAGAAAATTATCTTTTAAAAATTCAAATAAATTTTCCAACCATTTTTAATTGCTTCACTCTGCCACTCCACTGCAAAGTCTTCCTAACACCTCCCAGTGTGATTGTTTCCTGCTAACAGAGACATTTTGCAGACAGATTGAGTGTCAATATTACTAGCAGCAAATTATTCAAATTGCATGAATAGCCTTATAATCTTTATTTACTGTGAATATTTTAGGAACCTATTGTTTTTAAAAGAATAATTTTGGATAAGCTCTCATGGTTCAGCTGTCATCTTATGGACATTATCAAGGTTTTAGGGCAGCAGAGATAAAAATGTTATTCTTCAGATTCAAAGAGTGACAGTGACACCAATACCAGGTTTGCCTCCAAAATGCTAAAGACTGTAGAAAATGTGTGTACCAACCTTGCACCCATTCTATTGGGCACTAATACCTGTCTGCCTGTGCGGTACTTAGATAAAGGTAGGGAATAAGTAGCTATATCATCCTGTTTGCTGCTAAAGTAGCCCTTCACTGTTTATTTTCCAGCCAGAGTCAATTAGGCAAGGTGGTGCATCATTCACTATGTGCTGATTTCAGATATATTGGCAGGCTTTTAGATAAGCACCAATGAAAGGAGTATATATTTGTTAAAAAAGGGCAAGCTCTTAGGGAAATACTGGAGATGGCACTCTGTAACCCAGAAGACACAGGAACTGGAAGACTGCTTGGTTGTCAGTATTTTTTCTGCAGATGACTTCATTTCCCAAAGAGTGATTTTCCTTTTTTTTTAACACAAAACTTTAAGCTTTCTCAGTTACTCTGTTGTCTTGTTTGAATGCATGCATAAATAAATGTTGATCATCTGCTTCAAATCTAACTTTTTGTGAAAGAATAAAGAGGTAGTTTTGAACCAACTGAAACACTGAGACCTTCCCCATTAAATGATTCCAGTTTTATGCTAATATGTGTCCTGCTCCAATTCAAAGAACCTGCTTGTTCCAACTCAGGTCCAGGCTCCTACTTACTGAGCAGGTAGACTTTGCCAATACTTTTTTGGAAAGACAAGCCCTGTCCAACAGGGTTATGATCTGCAAAGACAAATTAGCCCAAAGATGAGAGGATAAAATAGAAGGGGAAAAGGAACTGTTCATGATGAGACAGCAAAAAAATGACAGGATCAAGAATGACACCTGGAGCTCCTAAACTCACAAGTTAGTGTTCCAGCTCCTGTCTCTATAAATCAATAATTATCCCAGGGTAACAACTAAATAACTTTTTTCATGTCTTTGGCCCATATATTTGATGCTTTCTTGTATCTTTCCCTTGTTCCTCTCCAGTTTAAAACTAAAGCCATGTAAACCAAAGCTCCATTTCAGGGGTTTGTTCCTGCCACGCTAGAAAGGGTTAAGAGATGAAGCCTACTAGAACAATGACTTTTCTAGATAGCATTTCTCCTCTTCATCCCCACAGCCTCTGCTTTATTAAACACTTGATCAGTTGGTGCTGTTAACCATATGGTGCTGTTTGTAGGATATAGATCCAAGGCTCAGGCAGGCTATGATCTATTTGGCTTGTCTGGACAAATAATTTCAGTGTTAATACCACAGTCCACTTACTGTTATCCGTGGAACAAGAGCAGGAGAAGACCAGGTAACCTTTCAAATCATGGACCTGCAAATGATGAAATGAAATTGCCCTAAGTTATCTGGCGTTTTCCAACATGACTGACGACAGCAAAATATAAAAAGAGCGTAAAGAGTCATGGGTACGTTGCTTTGTTTCCAATGGCAGTGATTGCATTACTCTACTTAAGTCCATTAACCATCACCTATTAATTTCAGTCATTGGAACTAGGTGAATTACAGTATCTGTAAGCACCCACCTTATTTCAGAACATTCACTTCATCCATGCTCATGCCATCTTGCTATTTGCTTTATGTAAACATATGGGCAAATCGGTTTTGTTCAGGTAAATGTTTAGGGAATAAATATTCCTACTTGGTAAGCAGCTATTTGTCCACTCTTGTATGAATTAAATATTTTATGTTCTTTCCTCTCCTACTTAAAAAAGTTATACTAATCTAATCAAGAGGAAGCAACAATAACATGTGATCTAAGTTACTAATCATCCACCCATTACAAATCCTGAGCATTAAAAAGATGAACAGTTTATGGGATAAAATGTGCCCATGAACAACCATTCAAATAATTATCCAAAAAAAGAGTCAATTTTAAAAAGCTACATGTAAGCAGAAAAAATACTTATCCAAAATGTCTCTGTAATACGAATAATTTAAGCAGACTGAATAAGCAACATTTAGGCATCCTGTGCAATGTCACCTAAATCACAGCAATGGTATTTCTATGTATTTCTATGGAAATCTGTATTCCTCCTACTTTGTGACCCACGGGAAGTCATGGTACCTCCAGGTGACCTGTGAGTTTGTCTGTCTGTGAAACAGGTATTTTAAATAAAATGAGTCTAATCACAAGGCTGTTCTCAGTCCAGTTAATGTTTGGGAAGTGTTCTCAGATCACTGGATAAAAGTACTATATTAATTCAAACAATGATGATGATTATCTTTCAGGGATTTTTATCCTCAGTGAAAAGCAAAAAGAATTACTGGCCAATTTTGTCTAGTAAATGCTGAATACTTGGAACACTTCCCGTTCATACTCGTTCTGTGGCTTTCCTGTGTCTGACTTATGTTTATCTTCATTAAGTGGAATAATGCAAGTCAAAATAGCTACAAGTAAACTGTCTGTTGGATGGGGAACAGTTGTTAGTTCATGGGAAATGGATCGTAAAAAATGTGCTCCTTTGACTTTAGAAAAGAGCTCTAAATTGATCCATTTCCAGTTCAAAGCTCCTTAAAACATACTAAGCAATCTCACCTGATATTTCATCACTATCATCACATGTCTTTCGGGTTCATCAGGGGCTGGATTATTCTGAAAGTTTTTGTCTCTATCAAAGTTCACCAGAAAGTCCTGATTCACATGGGAAGGCAGAGGGAACATCTCCTATACTTACTAGAAGTCAGTTTGAATAAGCAGTTGTCCTGGGTTCTTTGAACTTTAGAAGAGGTGGAGATGCAGTCATATAGAAGATGAACTACTTCCCTTGAAGGAGCACAGCACATATCTGTGCAGATTGATGGAGCCATAAGTCACTGGAAGCTAACCTGGGTACAGCCTGAGGTAAAGCTGAAAGCTAAAGTCATTCCAGGTGGGCTGGTGGAAGGAAAAAAACAAATCCTAGACAGTCACATAGGAGGTCATAACTTCTGTTCCATTGCAGCCCACATATAAATATTTTAGATTTATATTTTAGAAGTTTTAAGCCTCTCCATAAAATGCATTTAACTTTAGATTTTATTTTAAAATGCCTCTTGAGTAAGTAAGGTGCCACGTACTCTTGAGAATTTCAGGCAAATCTCTCTTGACCAATCCGAATTCATAAGCCAAACCATATGATTTCAAAATACTGTCAGTTGCCTCCTGGATCATATGTCCACATCTGGAAATGATGGATATTCTCCTCCCAGCTGTAGAAGAGGGAAATTCTGCATTAGGCTAAAAACACTGTGTAAATTGCAAGGGAGAAGGGTCAGCTTTCTAAAATTACAGTGGTCAAGGCAAGTCAAGCACTTTAATACACGGCTCAGATCCAAGATCAAAATCATTTTACAAATTCCCTAGTTATTCCATTCAGAAACATGCAGAACTTTTTGGTTAGTTTTATGGTGAAGATAGCCAATGGGCAACAAATTCTCATAACTAGAAACTAATCTCCTTTCACGAGGGACACAAAGCAGGTGCGCTTAGCAGAGATGAATCTGAGCCCCAAATTTGGTTGATGCAAAGCAGGAGAGAACTTCCCAATGGGAAATGGTTGTAAATCACATGAAGATCAATAGAAAAGAATGATTCAAAGCTGAAATCACATATTCTGAGTTCACCTTGCTGACGTCTCTTTGTCTGAAATATTCTTAAAACTCTAAAAAAGGTACTCATTGGTCAACAATAACAGGTACTCGGTCAACAATAACAGGAAAAAAATTGCTCTATAAATAATGTGGGAAACAACCGTGGAATTTATATGATGTATGATTGAATTTAAATAAGCATAACTATGCTGCTTTTCACTGTACCCCCTTTCTCACTCTTTATGTGTAATTATCCATGCTGAGATGCCATCTTCTATTGTCTATAAAGAATCACTCTCATATTAAGTGGTACATAAATAGAGGAGAATTCACTGGAAGGTATGTCATTATATATCATTATATATTATCATTAGTGATAACACCACATTAATACTGGAGAAGAAACAAATAGTCCATTTGTCTGTCTATGCCTGTGAATCATTACTTCACTAAGTCTTGCCTGGGAAAGTCTTACTAGAAGCATGTTGGATTAGATCCTAGGTAGAATTAAAGCCTTCTCTAGAAAGGGTCCTAGTACAGGCTGCATTTTCCATTATGGTTTGGGGGGGGGAGGGGAAGAAGAAGCATCTTCATGAGGCTTTTTCTTATGTTACATTTCTTCATTCAAGCAGCTTGGAAATACATGAAAATGGTGAAGCAAAAGATAAATTTGTTGTCTGAAAATCTCTGCAATGACATGATCTCAAAGCTAAGGTATGCAAATCAAGATGAATTAATACTAAGTCAAGGAAAACTATGCTTAATTTCGGGATTTGTATAACTGCACACTCTTACCTGATACCAATCTAACTTGGGTGGGCAGGAAATATCGCAAGAAAATAGTTTTCTCACAAAGCTTCTAATAGCTTTTGGTTTTAGTGAGGTTAGAGATAACAGGAAAACAGTACATATCCACGTTATTTCGGCTCTTGCAGCTTAAGTGCTGGCTAGAATACAGGGGACTAATTCCAGAGCTGACGTAAATAAGTGTTACTCAAAGACAGTAAGACAACACCAATTTACACAAACCATAGTTCAAGCCTGGGAAATTCAGATGCACACATAAGTTTAGATAAGATACATCTAGACAAATATTTTAGCTATGTATACACATCTATATATAACGCTTTCTAAACCACTGTAATCTCAGTCTACTTATACAAGCTGTTTAAAAATAGGAAGATGCCTCTTTTGAGAACGTAGCTGAAAGGATGAAAGATAGTTCAGAGAAGTTCCTAGTATTTATGATTTGTTTCATACCCATGAGTTTAGCCCCATGCTGCCTAATGAAGGAGGCTAGTCTCCCAGAGCTATCACTGGAAGGAGGGGGAGGGAGTAAGGAAGACTTTCTGTCAGAGGGCAGTTCAGAGGTGCTCTGCATTATACTCTAAAGGATCTTCATCCTTCATTTTCTAAACAGGGTGCCCAAGAAGAAGGCTCGGATAATTTAATACTCTCAACTAATCAGGTTTCCTAAAATTAGGCCATATAAATATCGTTAGAACATCAAAAATACATGGTATGGAGATAATCAGTTTAAGCAGAAGACTAATCGTTCCTGAATTTTAATCACAATTGGAAGAGCAGACATTCTTCTACAGCTCTGGGCATGGAACGAGGTTACTTGTCTCAGTTTCCCACTCTTTAGAAGGAGAACGGGCCTGCCTTCCCGTTCTCCTTCTAAACGGAGACGATTAGAAGGAGACGGGCCTGAGATTTCATTAGTATTTGGAAAGCATATCAAAGACAGATTTTTCAATGTGTTTTATTTCCTGTGGTCCCCCCTTTTTTCTCAGCCTATTCCCCATCCCTCTACCAGAGTAACATGAAACAAGAGCATTGAAATACTCTGCATTTTTCTTGGCAAAAAAATTAACCACAAAGACCAGGGTTTGTATTTTTTTAAACAATATTCACACTGGGCTCAAATTATGCGCATAAACATTGCTAATGTATTTGCTATTAGTCTCTGTGACACCTTATTCCTTTAAGTTTGCATCTCTTGGCATGAACTAGGAAAACTCTCTCCTCTCTGAAAGGGCTAGTTAAGATGTATCTTGCTGTTTCCCCATATCTTTAGTATGCAGGGAGCGCAGAGATGGAGATAAAAGGAGAAATGTCTATCTTTGAGTCTTCTGCAATACAGAATAAGTTATCAACCTACTAACATGCATGTCTGAATAGACTCCTTTGGCAGGAGGGAGATTTTATCTGTCCTGACATGCGAATTCCTCCCTCATGTCAATCCATGAAAGTACTAAAGAATAAACTCTCTAGTAAAATGAATGTGGCATACCACTGGGACTCAGAGAGCATCATATTTTCCCCTAGCTACTTTTTTTTTTAATTCTCCAACTGAATCCTTGATATCCATTTAAATTAGTCACTCTGAAGAACTACTTGAAAATCCATTGCTTTAAACTCATAGGCTTGGGGGGGGTGCCTCACGCCACTAAGGCTTAGGAGTTTGTTGCCTCTCTGTTTTTCCACTTCAGCCACGCACTGTGCCATCCCATCCGACCCCCCCCGCTGAAGCGCTCGAGTAGCATTTCTGCTGGAAGCTTTGCAGCTGCACAAGTCAAATGAGCAGGCACTGCTTTGCCCTCAGATCTGGTAGGCCCCAAGGTACAGATATGAGCAGTCAAAACGCCCTCTTCAGCATCATGAAGTGCCCACCCATGCGCGAGAGGAAGGATGCGATGTTTTGAATTAAGCTAAACGCAGCTGTAGCTATTATATGTT